AACTCAAAAGACATACAATGTTAAGGGCATGAGAAGAAGTATAAGAAAATAAAATACTAACATAAAATGGGGCAATTGGTCATTAGAAGAGAGATGGAATGGGGCATGCTAAGCATTCTTTTCAATCACAACTACCATATTTGCAATTGGTCATTATGACCTTTTTTGCATATCTCATTAAAGAAGATTACTTTTTTCACCATGAACAATAATTTTGTACTTTATATTTAAAGTTTCATTTAAAAATGCTTCTCAATTGCTTTAGCTTTTGGGGTTTTTTTGTTGTCTTTTTATTATCCTAAAAATATATAAAATTTTAATTAAAATAAATACTAAATATATTAAATATATTTTATATATTTTACAATATTAAAAGACCAAAAACCCTAAATGTACAACTATAGAATAGCACTCCCAAATTAAGTCTAAATCTTTTGCAGCATATATCTTCACCATGAATCAATAATTGTTTCTTCTAATAAAAGTAGATAGTTTTTCTTTTAATGTACAAACCACATAATGATAAACTTCTCTTTAATTTTCCTACAAAACTCAAGATTAAAAAAAAAAATTCTTTTTTGGCCACCAGATTGATTAAATTCTTTAATATACTCTATTTGTAAATATCTTTCAGAAGGCAAAGCAGTATTAAGAAGTGAACGCATTCAACCATTAAAAAAAAAAAAAAAAACAACAAGTGGATGCATTCAATGGTGGACTAGATTGGAACATGTTTAAGTTTGGGTACCAATATGTTACTTTTCGATATTACAAGGAGCAATAAACGAGAGAGGGAAGAACAAGCGACAGAGCAAGTACTCAGCAGCAGCAGCAGCAGCAGCAAATTGGAAGAAAGTTCCATACCCTTGGGATTGGGGGATTGGGATGCGTTGACAAGGAAACCCAATGGCGTGTCTGCGTCATCGTCAACATATTACGTCATGGATGATCTATATTTTCAAAATTCTCAATTTCCTGATGAAGTGGTGATCCTTCCTGACTAGCCATCGTTTTTAAATAAAAAATAAAAAATATTTAAAACATGTCACATAATTCATATCAAAATATTTGTTCGTGAGAGAGTCTTAGTTAATTATAGGTCAATTTTAAGATTCACCTCAATTTATGAGTCAATTTATAGTTTACTCAAATGTACTGAGTTATTATGAGAATTTGTCTTTAATATCATGGTAGGTAAAAAATGGTATCTAATGGAAGAAACTGAATGTATATAAAAATAAAAAGATTATATGAAAAATGAATAAACTAAGCACAGGAGAGGTTATGACTATTTATTATTTTAATTTAATTATTAAAAATAATTAATAAAAAAATGCATATTTATTATTTAATAAATTTAAATTAAATTTTAAATTGATATCTTTAAACATCATAATTAATTATTTTAAAAAATAAATAAA